GGGTCTGGCTGGGGACGGGACAGACCGTCTGCACGTAGGGCAGATTCAATCTTCGGTGTAGAGTCTAATGTAGCGCAGGCCGGAGCATCGCTTATGGGTCCAGGCACTGCACCCGGTGCACCAGAATGACTTCGCCACGTGACTGGGAGGGAGCAGACCGAGCAGGGGGGGTGCGGGCTAGGGTTGGGTGTATGCCCTGGGTCAGGAGAAGATGAACGAGCAGGAAGAAGAGATGGGGGGAGAGCAGGGCACAAGGAGCCCCAAGGAAGATAGGCGGCCAAAGATGTGGGTAGGGGGGAGGGGAGGCCGAGGTTCCCCTGCCCTTAGCAGAAAAAGCGAAGGAGCCTCCGTCCGGTAGCGATCCGGGCGGGGGGGCCTCTACCGTTTGGCCTGGCCCACGTGAATGTCGGGTAACCGGCCGACGCGTAGGCCAGGGTACCCCCCCCGACGTAGACGCGGCAGAGATCGGGGGCTCCCGAACGAGACGTTTACATCAAACAAGATGATGCCAAGGGCATGATTCCCCCCGTCAACGCAACGGAGAACGAGACGGACTGCGTAACGCAAGCTGGCCTGTAATAGAATTACAAGTTTGATGAAGAAGAACCCTCAATGACTGGAGAAGCTGAAGCAGATGTTCAGTATGTCGCATCGACGAACGGGGCGAACTGAAGTTGGACACTCTCGTTTGATGGATTTCATACTCAGTCAAACCTAGGAATCCCTATGTTCCCAATGGCATCACAATGGAAGAAATTTGAGCAAGAGAGGGAACGAAACATCATATCCTGGTCAAAATGGGGGGGACCAGAATTTCATGTAGATTGTAGACGCTCTTCGTAACGTTTATTGTATGAACTTGCAGTCGCAAATTTCCTTCTGACCGTAGCAAACATGGCAGTTAACTTTACACCAGCAGTTCAAATGCGCCCTAATAGTTAGCAATTTAGCCGAGTAAGATTCATCCTGCATAATTACATCCTAGATAGTCTGCCATAAAAATCCATCTGATAAAACAGGTTCAATCACTGAATTTTGTACTCTTGGGAAGTTTTCGAATCCATGTCGTCCCACCTTATAAATAAAAAACAACCTTCGAGACATGCCCGATTTAGAGGTTTTTCATCAGTTCATTGGAAGTTGGCTTCAAACACCGAAGAATATAGATCGGGTTCTAGTCGAGAAAATCTCCCTACCTGAGTTAACTTTGGTTGATGCCTAGGAAACGTACTCCTCAAGAATTTTTTTTTATCTAAACATTTTACTACACGCATATTATAAATACCTCCGCCAATGGAGAATCTACCTAAAGCCTGCAACGAATTGCGAATGAAGAGAATGACTCCACTAGGCATGGACATGGTAATCAATATTGATACCCATCATTCCTACGGGAGATTTTCACATTTAGATCTAACAAGCCCTGACAGGAAAATCGAACGAGACATCACGCGCGAATCCACCTATACATATCAAGCAACCCTTTCGACACTTCATTGCATCGTAAAGGCCATTCAATGGTGCACGTGAACAAAAACCTTGTTTAAGTGGCATACAACGAGAAACAACAGTCCTCTAGCAATTTGGTCAGGTCTCCGAATAATCTTCATTCTGTTCCTGGGGCCATACTTTCAAAACTCGCTAAGTGAACGTAAGTACTTACGATCTATTTTCTTGTCTATGATTGGTGGATTTTGCTCGAAAGGCCGTCAATAATTGGCCGATTAACATATGATCTCTTAACTTTTTTTGAAAGTATGGGCCCTGGACTCTTTATCCGCCTTAACCTTGAAGAAAATGGCCGGATTTTCAGATGAAATCTCTTTAATTGCTCTCTCAACTCTTAAAAAAATTAGGAGAAGGTCATAGGAATAAGTTAAATTGGTCATTTTCACATGCATTTTTGTCCAATTCATGGGTGGCTTCTGCCCAATCTCCACTTAGCTCCAAATGACATAATTTGAAACATTTGGAATTTTAAGGCCTTATTATGCACTCATGGCACCATTTAGATTTGAACTTTGAGTAAAGTCACCCGGCATATCTTGATTGTCTTATCTCAACGCACTTTCTCATGCACACTCGTAGAGATTCAAAAAAACCAATCTCGCCCTTTAACATCCATAACAACCAATTCTTTCGGGAGGACATCTATACCTAGTAGCCCATCGTGATCCAACGACGGAACATTTACGATACGCGACAACGCATCTGCAGCACAGTTCTTTCGCCCATGACGATATTTAACGACAAAATCGTACTTGGCTAAATCCTTCAGCATCATCAATAGTCTACAATCATCGCTAGCCATGATTTTTCAGATAAAGTAAAGGCTTATGATTTGCGAATAACATGAACGGTACTAGCGAAAAAGAACAAGCTTAGACGGTAGACCTCATCTTATTGAAACTAAAATCGCCCCCATACACTAGCGTATCCGACTAGACGATTCTGGCTGGCATATCTGATTCAGCGATATTTCACCATACACCTACGGGGACGCCTGTCGGAGACCACCGCTGCCGTACTTCGAATGGACTATCATGATTCTTTCCTTCGATAGCGTAGCCTATAACTTTTTTACTGTAAATTTGGTGGTTCACGGCTACGTTCCCTCACTACCTACGTACTTTGCTCTCAGCGCCCTGTCGTGAAGATGAGTCCAACGAGATAGTTGCAGCTGCTGCCATCGAGTTTAATAAGCTCGCAGCAGCGAAAAAGCAACGTAGGAAAAGATTATACGGTCATAAGAATGACTAGTCAATCGACCAGGATTCAGTCATATGAATTTGCTAAATTTCATACGCAACGATACTATTACGATAGTAGAAACCGACTCTCGAATTTTTTATAATATTTTGGCAAAGCAATATTTGTATCTAATTTGATAATTTGTTGATTTCCAGGAAGGATTGTTACGATCCTGTGTTATGGACAGACAGGATCGGGTAAATCTCGTACCATGGCAACTGAAAACCGCGAGAACTGCCCTGAAGAAAATATCTTTACCAGTTTCCATATGATGGGAACTGCCCTTCATTCCATCATATCAAGACATGATGGGTATCATCTCCAGGGCTATCAGGGACATGTTCGAGGAGGTGAAGATGCGTGAGGATGAATATCATTACACCATCACATGCCCATTTGTTGAGACAAGTCTGCATTGATCGTGTCTATGTAATATTTTTATTTTGTTCATTCGTTATTCATTTATGTTTTATGGCATTAAATCTTTAAATGAATGAAATAAAAGAAATAAATTGGGTTCATTCATTTATTTAGTTCATCGATCTGTTTTCTTCAACAGTTAACCTATTGTTTGAACACAATATTCGGTTGTTCAAACAAAAGGTTACTAAAAAAAAAGATTGACTATAAAACATTTTAGGCGTTTTATCCCGCTTAAAATACTGCGTTTGGTACACTGGTGTCCCAATACGCGACGTCTCGGTACCTTAAGCAAGTCAGTACCAATGTGGGCAAATGTTGTCCACAATAGTTTAGATTGTGAATAAATTTACTGCATACACACGTTCACACGCTGATGTGAATGAGAAATCAGCATTAATGCCGATGTGGCTGTAATTTTTGCAGCGACTTCGTAGTGTCCACAAAGTTCCAGCTGGTGGACCTCGCCGGAAGCGAGTCTGATAAGGAACCCGGCGCGGAGGGCAAGCTTCTGAAAGAAGCTATAGCCATCAACCGGGGTCTGCACACCCTTGGAAAAGTCATTAGAGCTGCCGCAGCAAAGCAGACGTCGATTCCTTTGAGAGAATCGAAACTCACCAGGCTACTACAAGGTCAGACTTGACCAACAATAATAGCCTTCTTTGTGAAGGTCAGAATCGTTTTAATTTGGAAATGAAATTGATGCTGTGTTTCAGCTAATTTTCATTTGTATTATAGTCCGTTCATGACATTCATGTACATTATACATAGTAATTGAATGTCTTTAATATTCTAATGGATTTTAAAGTATTTAATTTATTTTTGGCATATTCTTGTAATTGTTCTACAAAACATATTTCATTTCTGCAGACTATTGGCGGCCATGCGGCCATGCCCACTGCCTCAAGGTGGTCTGCGTTTCGCCGGCGGACAGCTCCCTGCCATAACATGTATAACTAATCCCTATTTTTCATTTCTGCAGACGTGATTGGCGTCCAGCCCACTGTCTCATGGTGGCGTGCGTGTCGCCTACTGACAGCTCCCTCCTCCCTGATCGAGACGGCAAAAACGCTCGACTTCGCCGACAACGGCGAAGTATAATCAATCGGGCGAAGTATAAACCCGTATAATCATTTGTATAATCAATCAAAAGCTCCTGTATAATCAACCCCAACCGTGCTGGAAGGATTAGCCTCAACAACGCGGTAGTGAGGTTAAGGGGCGACAACATGGCGCTAGATAGTTTACAGTTTACACGCTGTCTACCACACGGGATCCAATACTCTTTTCTTATAGAGATCAAAACGTGGTTTACTTCTGCATGAATAAAATTGGAAATAATATGAAGAATTCAGCAAATTCGTAAAATGAAATTTGGAGGGTAGGAGCAATGGAAACTTAGCAGTGTGTCGCAAAACGGCATGTCGTAATCTCCCGCGGCAAATCAGCCAGCCCTCTTCAATCTCTAACATTCAGCTGTCTGACAATTTAAGGTTGTACAGTGAATTTCCCATCCAAGTACTAGCAGCAATCCCTATACCTATACTCCTATAGTAATGACGTTACAACAGTTCAATAAGCTTCGATTCAGATTCCGTGATTTCTTGTGGGGTCAAACTGCTACCGCAGGCAACAGCTGTGCTTAAGAGGATTGACCTTCAATCGGTAAATGAACCTTAAAACAAATGTGATTACTCTTGATCATTCGTGCAGGGGCTGAATGATTAAAAAAATTAAGTACAGTTGCTAAACATTTTGTTCTCCGGCTGCAGCAATGGAAACACGGACGGTGTCTTCACCAGTAATTGGGATCGGGATCATTTGTCCATGATAGGCTTTATCACGGGAAAAGTGAGAGCCGGGACACGGCTTTATCTAGCAGCTTCATCACGGGACGCTTGTCTGAGACCGCCACTGCCGTACTTTAAATGGACTATCATGAATTCATGATCCTTTCCCACAATAACGTAGCCTATAACTTTTCGACTGTATATTTGGTGGTGCACGGCTGCGTTCCCCACCTACCTACGTACTTTGCTCTCAGCGCCCAGTCGTGAAGATGAGTCCGCCGATATAGTTGCAGCTGCTGCCATCGTCTTCAATGTGCTCGGGGGCCCGGGGCAGTGAAAAAGCAACGGAGAAAAAGTTCATGCGCTCAAAAGAATGGCTAGTCAATCGACATGGATTCAGTCATATAGAATAGAAGTGTCGGCACTGAAGAAATAACCCCATGGCCTGTTGCCGATTCTTATAATTTTCTTGACTTGATTCACAAGGGATCCGGCCTCTGGAACCCGATCATATAAATTTGCTAAATTTCATACGCAACGATAATATTACGATAGTCGAAAGGACTATCAAAATTACATTAAATGATGTCTGCTTTAAAACTTAAATATAGTATTGAACTAAGTTAAACCGTTAATACGCTACGGACCTTCCAAAAGCACGGCAAATTGCGTAGTAAGTCAGAAAATACCAGAAAAATACCAGATTTAGGCAAATATACCAGATCTAAAATGTTCATACCAGACACCTTCTGAAAATACCAGATTTGTGAAATCTGGTATAGAAATATACCATCTGGCAACGCTGAGAGAGACAGTGGAGAGTGGAGCCGAGCCGAGCGCCCGCGGCCCGAAACCAACACAGTGTTGCCCAATTTTTTTTTTCTCAGCAAGAATACCAGATTGACTACCTCAAAATACCAGAAATTCTATTCATAAACTGACTAATGCCTCTAAATTTGATGAAACTATTCGTCAGAAACTTTGGTTAGAAAAGTATTATTTTTTTCTTTATTTACTATGCATTTATTTGGCTTGACGAATAATTAGCCAAATTGATCGTTATTATTTTCCCCACCGTTTGCAACATTTTGACATTTTTCTTTTCCTGGTTTGATTACATTGACACTTGTTCCTCTTTTTTATCACAGTGTGGCACTTCTTCCTCTTCACTCAAGACGAGCAAGCCACGGAACAGGTCATCTTCCTCTTGCTTGTTTTCGTACATGCTTGCATATTGCATTTATCTAACATTTCGGGTGTGATCATTTGTTGCGGCTGAGCAGACAGCTTTTGGTCGGAATAACGGACTACAGTACCTTAGTTGAAATTCTATTTCGTTGCTCGTTTTTCACGTACGTAGGTGAGTTGTGGGAACACTCGTTCCACGAATGCATTGAAGACTGGTAAGAGTAGACACGTGATGAAGTAGTCAACCAGTTACAAGAACGGATGATTTTCAAGATCATTGAAATACTGCATGACAATCCAGAATTCAAAAACATCAAACACCTATACATATCAAGCAACCCTTTCGACAGTTCATTGCATCGGAAAGGCCATTCCATGGTGCACATGAACATTAACCTTGTTCAAGTGGCATACAACGAGAAACAACAGTCCGCTAGAAATTTGACCAGGTCCCCGCACAATCTTCATTCCGTTCCTGGGACTCTTTATCCGCCTTAACCTTGAAGAAAATGGCATGATTTTCAGATAAAATCTCTTCAATTACTCTCTCAACTTGTAAGTCTCCTGGCACATCTTGATTGTCCATCTCAGCTCACTTTCTCAGGCACACTCGCAGAGATTAAAAAAACCAATCTCCCCCTTTAACATCCATAACAACCAATTCTTTCGGGAGGACATCCATACCTAGTAGTCCATCGTGATCCAACTACCGTCAATTACGATACGCGACATGGCATCTGCAGCACAGTTCTTTCGCCCACAGGACGATATTTAATGACAAAATCGTACCCAACTTAGTCGACTAAATCATTCGATGTCCTCAATAGTCTACAATTATCGCGAGCCATGCTTTTTCAGATAAAGTAAAAACCCCATACACTAGCGTATCCGACTCTCTAGTCCGGCTAGATGATTCTGGCTTCAATATCCTATTGACAAAGTTTAAACCGTTTATAACAAATCAAATCTTGCGCTACGGAATAATTCGCTTTATAAAAATTATATTAAATAATTAGTCTATAATGAATCGAATAACGCCACGGAACTTCTACAAGCACGGCAAATTGCGGGACTCTTCAGTAAACATGGTTAGGAGGCCCAGCGTTGCAACTGAAGTTACTGAAGTATGGGGTTATTTCATCAAGCTTTATTTATAGGGTTCCAAAAATGGCGGGAAAGCTCTAGTTTCGCCGCTCACAATGTAATCTATATAATCCACGCCTACGCTGGGGGGAGTTCAAGCTTCAGAGGCGGAACTTAAATGCAGAAAATCTGCAGTAAGTCAGAAAATATCAAAAAATACCAGATCTAAAATATTCATGTCAGATAGAGTCTGAAAATACCAGATTGGTGAAATCTGGTATAGAAATATACCAGTTGGAACAGCAAGCACTTGCTGGAGTGCGTCGTTGGGCTCGCCTAGATGTTTCTCTTTTCGGCTCGTTGGGCGCCGTATTCGCTGGTGGTGGCGGAGTTGAATGGTTTGAAATTGAAGGTGAGCCTAGATAGACTCGCGGATTGTAGAACATCTGATATGAGCATGGCTGAAAGTCATGGAAGCATATACTATTGCCTTGTTTACATCCATCTGTTTCTGTACTAAGCACGCTCTTTCCCTAATACCCGATTCATCTACTTACAATTCAAGCTTGTCTTCTCCATCTCTGCTTGTCAAGGTCTTCATTGTGAGGAAAACTAAGCGAAACTCCATTAAAAAAACAAATGCTACTTCCCATCTAGTCCGCGATAGCGCTTGACGCTTCGGGGCACCTGTTAGTTCCGTCAGAAGGCTTATCAATCGCTGAACTCTGGTCAATGAACTTCCTCTAAAAATTACCGTAACTCTGTCACTGTTGTGGGTCTAGGATAGTCAACAATTTTCTGCACAAAATCGGGGGTCCTGCGTATGCAGTTACTACTTTTTTAATGATCCAAAAACTAATATCCTCGTGAAAAAGCAGAAATTTGGATACCTTTATTTTGATTCCATTCAGCTTGAGAAGTTGAGAGTTGTTAAAACCTTACGCATAAGCATTAAATGTTCAAAATATTGAATGTCGTCTATCATAGATCACAATTCGGGTGGACAGAAATTCCAGAAGTATAGAAGGTGACATGGCTTGAGATGTGCTATCGGTACCTTCTAATCTAATGGATGACGGTTGCGACAAGTCCTCCCGGCAGGCGAAATGGACATGATTAATACCGTAAGGCCGGTCCACACGCTCAGTTTTACACAACAATTTGTCTGCACAGTTCTAATCGTTGCAGATAAAACGTTGCGTGTGGACGGGAAAACTGCGCAGTTTTGAAGCCGGCGGGAAGACTGTACAGTTGCAGCGATATCTGAGCTGCAGAGCATAGATTTCGATGAACTACGCAGATAGTAAGTCGGAACATGGAGAAGGTACCATCCTATCAACATTCAATTTGTGCTCAGTTTCAATGATTCTGGCGAAAAATGGCGGACCTTCCGTAATGTTCTCGGGAATTTATTGCTCTATGCGAAAGTTTTCCTTGCATTTGGCGAGTAAAATCCAAGGATTATAGAAACAGGGACAAGAAAGGTGGATACATATGAGAGCTTAGTAGAAAAATTCAAAGAAATCGATGAAAGCGCAAACAGAGAAATAGCTGTAAAAAATGTACATTTTGAAGAGTATTTATCGTAAATAATTGGGTAAAAATTATTAAATCGATTCCATCTGGAGCTTGAGAAAATGACATCTACAAGCCATCTCTCTGGTATTTTGATTCCTTGCATTTCCTAAATGAACCAATCTTTTTTTACAAGGCACAATGCCCAAATTAACCAAAATACTGCCTCCTCCTTGGGGAGATTGCACAAAACTGAGCTAACTACGCAGATATGTCGGTACCGTGCGGACGCTCTAAAATTTGCAACGATTTCATTCCGACTTGAGACCGCATACAGATCGTTGTGTAAAACTGAGCATGTGGACCGGCCTTAACAATAACGCACGTAAATGGACTTTACAAATTAAGTCGATACGGCATAATTACAGAGCGTAGACGATGTGATACAAAATATTCAAGAAGAAATTGATCTCTTAGGTAAGGCAAGAAGAGCCTTTATAGCAGCTTAAACGGCATGGT